ATATTTTAATAAGTATTTATAAAAAAAGATAGCAATTACTATATAATCTATGATTCTGGATATTGTATCTTAGATTTTAGACAAAAATAGTAATTACTATATAATCTATGATTCTGGATTGTAAATAAATAGATTTATAGATATATGCTTGTGAACCCAGTGATGTTATTCCTAGAGCATATGTAATAGCTAGTTAATGTTTATTTAGTAAGTATAACATAATCATTAAACTAAAATTTTAGGGTAATATGATTTTTACGGCTAATAGCTTTATTTTTTTTATTTTTAGATGGGAGGATGAAAACCTTTAAAATTGAATTCTAAGATTTATATGATTTTTTTTTAGAACGATTGTTTTAATAATTTTTTTTTATTTCATATGGAAATGGTTAGAATGATAACAAATTGAACAAAAATTTTAAGTTTCTAACCCTAGTAGTGTCAGATATACGTGACAATTATGAGAATTTATATTTAATTGTGAAATAATATGTATAAGTAATCTTATGTGAAGTTTAATAAGTTGATTGAGGAGAAATTTGGGTGATTACATAAAAATTTATGTTTGTGGAAATAAATGTTGGAATGGGGAATTCTATAATTTTTTTGTATTAAAATGTTAAGTTGAATAAAAAATAAGTTAAATGGTGTTTAAAATGTTATGAATTGAAAATTAAATTAAAGGATTTGATGTGAATGGTAGACAATGATAAATTTGAAAGGAAGTTGTGTTAAAAAAATATATTAGTTTCCAAACTTGACTATGTTGAATGTATGTACATGTGTGAAATTTGGGTTGAATAAATCAAAATGATGTAGTAAAAAGAAATTTAAATTAAAAACATGTTAAAATTTTCATAATAAGGAGGATTTAAATTAAAAACATGTTATGTATATTTTTTAATAGGTTTAGGTTGAAAGGAAAAGAATAAGACAAAAGTATACATGACAAAATTAAATACTAGTATATGTAAACGAATACAATAAAATATATTTTATACCTTGTGGGAATTATTATGTGTTGGGTTTTAAATTTAGATAACTGTAAGTAGAAAATGCTTATACATTAATAGAATTTGCTAGCATGAATATAAATTCATAAGTTTAGTTGTTGACATATTAATAAGGATATCTCTATTTGAAATTAGAAGAGTCAGCATGAATATAAATTCATAAGTTTAGTTGCTGGCATATTAATAAAATCTAGAACTAGAACTAAACCTTTAGTAGAGGGAACTTGTTTGAGAAGAAGATAAGGTAGGTATCTCTTACCTCATCTTAATTAATTGTTTGGATATTAAAGTGAGGCATTTGGATAAGAATTTAATTTATTAATTGGAGATCAAAGCCAATTGTTTAGATGTGAACTTTATAATTTTAATATTAAAATCAATTATTTAAACAAAATTTTGATTGATTGGATAATAAAGTCAGTTGTTTGGATAAGAACTTGACTAAATAAATAGTTAAGTAAACCATTTAGATAAGAATTAATGTGAGAAATTGACTAATATAATGACCGAGATTATATATAAGATTCTAGTATTGGGATCGATAATATCTTGTTTTATAAAGGATAACCATAATAAAAAAGATATAATATGAAAATTTGTGTTGCCTCCTTTTTTCAGGGGATATATATAAATTTACTTAGTATTTATTGATTTATTTTGTGTATTACTTTTACATCCTAATCATTAAGGCAGCATTGATTCCACCACTAGTTGCTAGATAATTTTATTTAGGTATATATTATATGTATATGAATAACACAAATATCATCTATATAGTTCAAGATGTAAAAACTCATAAAAGTATTTTAGTATATTTCTAGTAATTGTAATATATTATATGTCATGTTTGTAAATAATTAATTAACTATGGAATTATTATAAATGATTTAGGATTATATTGCATAATCATTAATAGATAAAAATTAAATTAATTGATAATACGCTTGAGATTACTTGTGATATGATCAATGATTATGTTTTATTAGTGAGCTTAAAAATCATGTTATGTGGAATTGATTTCATGTAAAAACTTAAGCAAGATAAAATTTTATATGGAGTTTCATATAACAAAAACTCTTTTAAAACTTCATTGAAATGGGATGAACTTGCTTAAAATTAATATCACATCAAAATATTAGAACATATGCATGAAAAGATTTATGGGTATTAATTTCACTCATAAATATTTGAAACTATTTAATGATGACTTATTAAAACAATTTTGTTTTATATGAATATACTTGTTAGAGATGATATGAAATGATTGAAAAACTTGAGGAGTTACATGAATAATTTAATGAGTGTTGATAAATAGTACTTACAACATATTATGTATAGTAAAAGACTAAAATTATAGCACGTGTTATGTCATGAGTTAGATCAAGAATAAAAAATTCTAGCGTAAAAAAAAAAGGATTTTTAGATGGTGATAACGTGTTTTAATAAATTAAGAGAAATTCATTCCTAATGTTATACAATAACCGGTAAAATAAGCTGGTGTCATTTAATTACATGATGAAAAAAAAACAATGATAATAAATGGACTTAATTAAAAAAAAAAGTGGTCATGATGACTTGAAAAAAAAAAACTTACCAAAAGAGAAAAAATTACAAACCTAAGTAAAACCAAAAAAATATTTGATTTAAAAAAATGACCCTAAAAATAAGTTATGTTAATCTATCAAACAAGCAACTTAATTTATAAAAACGAAATAACCCTATACAATGAAAAACAAAAACAAAAAAAAAAGAAGCCCAACTTCTAATAAATTCATTGTTAACTAATGAAATTGAAATGAAAAATTCATGTAAACAAAAAGACTCAAAAAACTCGATGTTAACTGGGTTAACCTTTCAAACTCATGATCCAAGTTATCAGAAGAGGACCACCCTGTCAAAATAAATCATGAAAATCTACATCTAAAAAACACATTGTTTTGTTGAAGGATAGATCACTCATTTAAATTGTCTCAAAAGTCTCATACTTATATTTAATTAATCCAATCTAATTCAAAAACAATTTTTTTTAAAAGCTAATTTTAATATTCAAAAACAATTTTTTTTAAAAGCTAATTAAAAAAAAAAGCTAATTTTAACAAAAAAAAAAGAAGAGAAAGACTTGAGATAACTAAGCAATATAGAAATTGAGGAAAATTATATACAAAGAAAATAACAAAAATATCAGAGAAAAATTTTTAATTAAATAAATGTTGTGAGATGAAACTAAATAAATATGAGCTTAAAAAATAAAAATAAAAATAAAAACCTTGACAAATTTCTTAAACTTGGATTAATGCCTCAAACTTGTAACCTATAAAATCCTAGATTCAAACTCATTTAAAAAACTCAATTCTCAACTAATTTAATATTAAAGGATATAATAGAAAAAAAAGAAGATCAATTTAAAAAATTTACCAAAGTAAAAATATAGAAATAAAAAAATAAAGATCAAATTTAATAGGTAAAAAACTGAAAGAGAAAAAAGTCATGAAAAAAAATCAAATTTAAAATGATCTCAAATAAAATAAAGAGCAATAAAAAAAATAAGGATTATTAGAAGGATGATGAAATTGAAAAAAAAAATTAATTTTATAAATTATTTCATATTAAATAAATAGTAATAAAATGAACATGGATCAAAGCTGAAGGAAAAAATTAAAATTGAAGGGTGGTTATGAAAATTTAGAAGGTCATCAGGGAATTTAAGGAACCGAGAGAAAATATAGAAAAAAAATACCACTAGCACCAAATTAGAGTTCTTATGGACGTACGTGTCACCTTGGAATAGAAAGGTTGTTGAGATAATTCAAACACTATCTCAAAAATCATTATTTAGTAGGTGAACGATCTTTCATGCATTGCCTAAAAAGTAATAACACTCCTTACTCTTGATTGTGTGTAGTGCACAAGTAAGATATTTTTTTAATATTTTATATTTATTAAATTATTGAATTATATCTTAGTTAACTTGATTGCAACTAAACACCATGGTGAAAATATAAAAAAATCCACTGACACCAATTAAAATTTTTTTTGATTCCAATAATAATTTAGTTATTTATTTATGCTTAAAAAGGTGTGAAGTCCAAAATAACCTTTTATGTCAATTTAATAATTTTTACTTTCTAGAATAATTTTATTATTTTATTATTTTAAAAAGTATTAAAAAATATCATATTAATCTTGATAGTTTTCATTAAGAAGGATAATTAGTAATTTCATTCTTCAAACCAACTTGTAAATAATTCTAGAGCTTGCTCCATAAAAAAATACACCTTTTAGTTTTTCTTAATTTAATGTTTTTTAGTTTATAAGTAATAGTTGAAGTAGGAATGGATGTTACAAACAAGTGGTTTAATTTGAATTGGATTGTACAGCATCAGATTTTAATATTAAGAATACATGAATTTGATTGATGTGATAACATTTGCCTTTGCAAAGCCAACAACCTTTTGTTTTAAATCAAGATATTTAAATGGGCTAGGGCCTAGGCACGCCCATCCATTTCAATTTTAGCCGTACTCTAACCATCCTAATTCGTACAAATTACAGGGTTGTAGTGTAAAATTGTTTTATTCTTTGATTATTATTTTTTAAAATTTATAAATTGTTTTAATGTTTAAATATAAAAATTTATTTTTAAAAATAAAAAATATTATTTAAATTTATTTTTAAATAAAAATACTTTAAAAAACATCTCCTCCTCACCGTTTGTAAACTTCCTAGAAATTGCATGAAAAGAAACTCTTTCTCGATAGACGACATTTTCCACTCCAATTTTCACTTGACCGAAAAGAAGACTGTCCGATGTATATCTTTTGCCTTTTATTCTTTTATCATCATGATATCATGCACTAAACGGCAGGGGGGCGAAATGCAAGACAAACCAACCATTCTGATGAGCCAAGGCGTGTTTGAGCTAAACAAACACATGAACAAGACGCCTACTTACAAAAGAAAAATTAAGCAAGAGAGTTAGAGAATCACCAGAAGCTTGAATTGGTCTGTGATGGTTGATCTAACACATCTAGTGCCTTGAAACCCTAGCGGGCAAGCGAGGCAATAGAGTCCAGCTTCACAATCTTGATTCGATGAACATTCATCATGTAGCTGAACATTAAAACAAAAGTTAAATTAAAAACCAAAAAAAGAAAAAATAAGAAAGCAAACCGAGAAAAAAGATCAAGCTGTAGCAAACCCTGCATTCTCCCTTTGAGCAAGATGCAGCAACACCAACAAGCGCCGCCACTGAAGCTGTGATGATCAAAAGCAAGTTTTGAGAAAAAACCATGTTGGGAAACGAAAGGATATTCATTGGGAGAATAAAGGAACGTAAAGAGGCCAGACATATAAATATAGAGAGAGAGTACTCTAAATGCGTCTGGCCTCTGTTTCTTTGTTTTACTTTTTATCTTGGGAAAGTAGTGGTGAGCTTTCCCTGTCTTTTTTTGGCTGAGAAAGCAAAGGAAGCTTCACAAAACTCTGCTCGGAACTAGACAGTAGTCCTCTCGGAAAGCAACATATGAGGAGGAGGTGGCCATCTATTCAATGACACTGATGTTGAAATATGGCCACATGCTAGGTGCCTACCACGGTATCTTGAAAGTCACCTTATTTGATTGTAAATAAAATCGAGATTATTGCATTTTTAGTGTTCGAAACTTTTTTTTTATTTATGTAAGCTTATATATAAAAATTTTCCTCCTTTTTTAATTTTATTTAATTGGTTTTGTTAATTCTTTTATTAGTTGGATGTTATGTGACTATACCCCTGGTACCCTAAGATAGCTCATACAAAAAAACAAAATAAAACAAAATAAATAAATAAATGTTTTAGAATGGTACCCTAAGATAGCTCATACAAAAAAATCAGAAAAACAAAATAAAACAAAATAAAACAAATAAATGTTTTAGAGTAGAAAAGGGAAGAGTCCCAGGCGGTTGCTTGTAAATAAATTTTTATCCTCTCCAGCAAACATTGCTTCTAGTCTCCTCTCGCTCCATAAAATCAAATAGAAAAAAAAAAAAACCCAATAAATTTGACATCCTTTCCAGCAAACATTGTCAAGATTCCTAATTTCAATTTCTTGTGATTCCAAATTAATTATTTTAGGGTTCAATATTGATCAAAACAACAACAACAAATCAAATTTCTAAGAAAAAAAACACCTTCATGGCTTGGAAATCCGATTATTACGTAGGAATAAGTACCCCTTTTGTCATCAAAAGCACACCCTCCATCGTCTCCGCTCGAAATCAAAGACTCAAAAATCCCCTCCGCTGATTCTGCCCCTCCATGAACGCCTCAGCAGGAAGGTCGCGTATATAAGGCGTGAGCACGGGTCAGACAGTGTGCATGTCAAATTTGACGGATTTGGGGCCATTATCAAACATTTCACTACGAGTACTAGAGATCCAAGACGGAATATGTCTCCATCATCTCGTATAAGAAAGTTTTCTACACTCTTACAAGTCGAAGAATCAAAAAGAAAGAGAAAAAAGGAGATAGCTTAAACAACAACAGGGATTGAAGATGAACATTAGCATAAACTATTGAGAGAAACACATACTTTATCCTAAAAATATTATCAAAATAATTTTTACAAGTTTAACGTTTTTCTTAGGTAAGGCCTAGATTAGCATATACGCACAGAAGCAGATTATGCCAATCCTTAGGCCATATTTTTTTGGCGGTGAACAAAATTTCACAAAATTGCATGAGCAAAATCAGTAATTGATGACTCTTGGGTGAGTTGAGTTTTTCTATTTAGTTTTCTTGTACAATAGGGATTGATGTTAAACCATCTATTTTCTATTTATAATTTTTTTAAAATATAGCTAGATAACTACTATGTTGTAACACTATAAAAGGCCTTCTTGAGTCAAGAAATAAGCACACCAACAATAAGATGTAATCCCTATGTTAAGCTGCATATTTCTATTTTTATTTATGTTCTTAATTTTTCTTCTTTGATATTAATTTTTTTATTATTGATCCTTATATTTAACATGGTATTACAACAAGTTTTATACTCTATTTTTACTCTTAGCTTTCACACTTTTAAAAAACTAGAAAATAACAATGGAAACACCAACAAAAAAAATACTTTATCGGTAATTTTTATATAAAAAATAATGGAATATATTATGTTGGTAATTCCAACAAAATTCATAAAGGAATAGAAAAAAAAATTCATTAAAAATTTGAGGAGTTAGTATTTTCCAATAAAATTATTGATAGATATTCCATTTATAAATTTAAATAAATTAAAACCCAACAAATCTCTCTTCCCCCTTCTCCTTCTTTCTACACAAAAAAGAAACCTCTCCCTTTATTTTCTCACAAATTTGATCTTCATCCTCATAAATTTAGCTACCCCAAATTATTGGTATTGGCTTACATCTATCAATAATATCAACATCCCTGATCTCTTGGTTTAATTTCTTGTGAAACTTCGCTATACTTAGCAAGAAAACTTTTTTTTTTTTAACATATTTATATTCTAGGTTAATTTATTAAAAAAACTTGTAGTATTTTTAGTTTGCTTGTATATTTGAGTATTTTACAACTTTTTTCATTGAAAAGTTTATTATATTAATGTATGATTTGAATTTCAGAGTTTGTTTAGGATTTTGGAGGAATTGATTTCATTTGTCATTTGATGAAATTAATTTTGTTTTTATAACTTAGATGTGTTCTAATTTAATAAATGATGGGTTATTACTTTATCCGAAAAATATTATCAAAATAATTTTTACAAGTTTAACGTTTTTCTTAGGTAAAGTCTAGATAATATACGCATAAAAGCAGATTATGTCAATTCTTAGGCCACATTTTTTGAGCGGTGAACAAAATTTCACAAAATTGTACGAGCAAAATCAGTAATTGATGACTTTTGGATGAGTTATAGAATAGTTTTTAATTTCATGATGTCCTGTCAAGATATTGTTAGCGTGAGTTGAGTTTTTCTATTTAATTTTCTTGTACAATAGGAATTGATGTTAAACTATTTATTTTTTATTTATATTTTTGTTTAATATAGCTAGATAACTACTATGTTGTGACACTATAAAAGGCTTTCTTAAGTCCAGAACTAAACACACCAACAATAAAATGTAATCCCTATATTAAACTATATTAAACTGCATATTTCTATTTTTATTTTATGCTCTTAATTTTTCTCCTTTGATATTAATTTTTTTATTTTTCATCCTTATATTTAACATCGTATTACAACAAGTTTTATACTTTGTTTTTATTCTTGGTTTTTACACTTTTAAAAAACTAGAAAATAACAACAGAAACACCAACAAAAAAAATACTTTATCGGTAATTTTTATGTAAAAAGTAATGGCATATATTATGTTGTTAATTTCCAACAAAATTCATAAAGGAATAGAAAAAAAATTCATTAAAAATTTGAGTCAGTATTTTCCAATAAAATTACCGATAGACATTTCATTTGTAGATTTAAATAAATTAAACCCCAACAGATCTCTCTTCCCTCTTCTCCTTCTTTCTACAAAAAAAAAAACCTCTCCCTTTATTTTCTCACAAATTCGATCTTCATCCTCACAAATTTAGCTACCCCAAATTACTAGCATTAACTTACATCTATCAATAATATCAATATCCCTGATCTCTTGGTTTAATTTCTTATGAAACTTCGCTACACTTAGCAATAAATTTTTTTTTCAATATATTTATATTTTAGGTTAATTTATTAAAAAAAACTTGTAGTAGTTATAGTTTGCTTGTATAAAATTTTACAACTTTTTTCATTGAAAATTTTATTATATTAATGTATGATTTGTATTTCAGAGTTTGTTTAGGATTTTGGAGGAATTGATTTCATTTGTCATTTGATGAAATTAATTTTGTTTTTATAACTTAGATGTGTTCTAATTTAATAAATGATGGGTTATTTAATGGGTACCAATTAGATTTTGTCAATTTTATTGTCAAGTTAGAAATTTGAGTAAATTTGAAGAAATTGATTTTTTTTATGGAATTGAAAATAATGAAAAGGTATTAATTTAGGTTGACTAAGTTTAAATTAAATAAATGATATATAGATAATTAGTCACGTATCAATTATTTTTTTATTTTATTATACAGTTCACATTTTGACACAAAATTAAATTTGTATAGAAATGATAATTAGTTATTGTATTGTAAATTTATTTCTAATAACAATTTGAATTATATATGACATTTTGTTGGTACTTTATAATGTATTATATTTACACTTGTTTGGTAATTTTGTTTTATCTTTTTTTTGGAGATGTGTTTATTATTTTAATAATTGTACAAGTATTTTGTTTTGTTGTGGTTATGGTTTTCACAAAAGCAATTATTGCCTCAAATATGCTTTTTCTTCTTCTTCTTCTTCTTCTTCTTCTTCTTATTCTTCTTACATGTTTTGGCACGTAAAGGGATTGTAACAATTAACCTAAAAACAACTTTAAAATTTATTATGAAAATACCGATAAAAATATAATTTTATAAGAAAGTTATAGAAGGTTTAGGGATTATCGATATCATTGGTGATGGAATAGTTTGTCAAAAAACAAGCATCTTATTTTTTATAGAATTGACATCAGAACACCCATTTTATCAAAAACTTACAAAAGGTTTAGGGATTAATGATAAAATTGGCAACAAAATTGTTTGTTAAAAATTTAGCTTTTTATTACCAATAAAATCTACAATGAAATAAAAAATTTTAAAAATCCAATCAGCAATTTCATCAACAATAATGACATATCAAAGTGTTCAACAAAATTATCGATGGAAATTTTGTTCATTGTTTTAAAATAAATTAAAATTTGATAGTCCCTCTCAATAACTTAGAAAGCTAAGAAAACATCAATTCTAAAAATAAAAGGAAAATTGGTAGAGTGTAAAAAAGAAAAAAAAATGTTTTTTATAAGAAATATTCCCCAAGGATAATTAAACATCAATCATAGAATTTTGATATTTTTCTAATATGAGTTGTTTATACTTATCCTTACTTTAACACCTGGCACTCGTGTATCAAATAACCATAATCACATGATAACATTCATTGAGCATGCAAGATTTAAATATATGACAACATTGAGATCAAGATAGGTGTAATTAATTCATAATAATTAAACACACATAGAGAGTTGATGTAATCAAGATGTATATTTTTTAAGTAACAAACAATCAAGCATAACTTAAAAAATTAGATGCTTCTGCTATTTAATTTAATTAGTCATAAATCTATCATAAACTAATCACAATAAATAGATTTAAAACAAAAAACATATGTTGCGCATCATATAGAATTTCAGTTATCAATCATTAAATTTAATCATAGAAAAAAAATAAGATATTCCTATATCATAATTAGATATACAATAATTTTAAGTACAAATCCTCATGATAATTTAAAATTCAAGAATACTAACATCTTAAAACTGAAAACTAAGCTTCTCGTAAATTGTTTTTTAAAAGGATAAAAAATAATAGAACCATCCTTCTCTTCTCTTATATTCTAAACATGATCCCCCTTTTTTTTAAGAGGTTAGGATCGATTATATGGGTGTGAAGATATAAAGAAGTTTTCTAATTAATAACAAATATTTAATCAGATTACGTTAAGGTTTCCTTATATCAATATGATTCTAATAACATGTGCATTGACTTTGATCTTCTAAAGAGAGGTTTATTGGTCAAGTGAGACCTTTTTCATATCATTAATGATATGTCAAGTCATCATCCCAACTTGGAAAGATTAAGGTGCATTTGTGCTACTCTGTTAGCAAATTTCATATCCAATTTCAAATAGTCTTTATCTCTCATCTAGAGGATTTACTGTGCCTAACATAGATAGATAAAAAGCTTAAGATGTCTAATTTTCAGACCAACTTAAAATGTAGCAAAATTTCATATGTAGCTTTAATTATGGTCTAAATAATATATAAATATCTAGTTTGAGAGATTTGTTATAACCAATCCTAATTCCATTGGGAATTTTTTTTTTCAAGTTGGATTCAAATGTAATTAGGATTTGCACTTCTTATTTCCAGCAACTTATCTTAATGTGCTCTTTGTATTTATTTTCTTGAAATTATGTTGAAAATGCTTTATTTAATATTTTTCTTTATGTCTATATAGCACTTTTAATCACAAAACAAGTTAGTTAAGTTATTGTAAGTCATAAAACATGAATAAAAGACTAGGAATAAGATACTAAAATGATAGAATAACATAACTGTATCAAATTCTCAAACACTTAGATCTTGCAACTTCTTATGTAAGGAAAAGAAAAGTCATAAACAATAGACTCCAAAAAATAAAACTCAAAAGTTGAAAAAAAAAAATAATAACTCAAAATAAAAGCAAGCAAATTGAAAATAAAACCAAGTCAAAACTACCTAGGCATTCACTTTTACTTTCAATATCCTAATAACATCAAAGAATATAAGAATTATAGGCAAGAAACAAGCTAAAGAGTTTAAAGCATAAAACTTCATAAATTTATTTACAATGCAACTTTCAAACTTTTCTTAACATTTGAAATTTAAATGAAAAGCATGTCATTCAAAAATAGTAATTCATCCCATTTGATTACCCTTCAACACTTAAGTTTTTTTATGATTTATATGTTTATACCCAAAGTCATTCAATGTTATAATTTGTCATATGTTTTCTTTTCAATCTTATATGCACTATTAAGTATCACATGCAACACATGAATCAAAGGGTATTTATTCAAGGTTGTAATGGGTTTGTGGTTAGAGTGAGGTAAAAGAAAGGTGAATAAAATGTTAATAACCAAATAATCTAATAAAGCATAAAAATGATGAACTTAACATCATATAATCATCACAACAGATGGATTCATTATCATAAAAGTACAATTACTTGCTTTTTTCAATTTCAAATTCCCACATTATATCCTCATCAAAATCATAAAGGAGATATTTTCTTTTATTTCTTCTAGCACCATCATGTTTTGGTTTTTTTTTTATTTGGCCGAAATTGATCATACTCAAATTTAACACTAAACTCCATCGCATAACCTCTTTTTCTCAAAATTTCCAACATAAATCCATATAAACATCAAGCATATGTTCTTCTAGTCTTTGGCTACAGAATAGGAAACAAATGAAAAGTTATGGCTCATAAAACATAGGTAAAGAAAACAAAAGATAAATAAACTTGAAAGGGCTCATTCTAGTCTTTAGTCAGAGAATAGGAAACAAATGAAAAGTTATGGCTCATAAAACATAAGTAAAGAAAACAAAAGATAAATAAGCTCGAAAAGGCTCATTAATGGGTAACATACTAAAAAGTTGGCTTTTTAGGTTCAAAATGGTTAAATTCCTACAGGCCCTTGTTATGGTCATACATACATGTAATGTAAATGTAGTCTCAAGAAGATATTAAGTAAGTTCTCAAAATACATAACCTTCAAATGAACAAAATTCATCACATAATCATGTTAAAGGCTCAAAAGTTTAGAAATGTAAAATCATACACTAAGTCAACATGACATATTTTCAAAGTTCATCTTTAAACTAATTAAGTTTCAAATATTATAAGTAAGCTCATTCATTAAGTTTATACCTTTATCAAATTTACTAGTTCAAACTCATAATACATATATTTTCATCAACAATTAGGATATCAAAAGATAAAATTAAACACTTCGGGTTAAAAAAAAATCCAATAGAACTTTTATTTTTGTTTTTATTAAAAACAAGTAGTCATACCTAAAGTAAAGTAAATCACACATGCAAAGAAAAAAACATCCAAGCATGGTTTTCGTTAACATTTGAAGCCTTACCAATTCACTTTGATCACTTTGTTTATTTTTAAAATTTGAATTTGTGTTGCACCATGATTAAAGATATTATTAATAACAAATAACCAATCTAATGGGAATACAACTTATACGAAAGAGCTTCAAATGTTGACGAAAAAGAAGAAATTTTCTACCCAAACATGAAATTTCCATCCTTTTCCAATAATTTGTATAGAGGTAATGTTATTTTAAAAAAGTCCTTGATAAACATTTGATAGAAACTTGCATGTCCAAGAACAGAACAAATTTCTCACACACTCGCAACATAAGACATGTAAAATCCCGATTAAATATTGTAGTGAAGTATTGGAAATTTAACCCGATTATAAAAATAAATGATAAATAAAAATTGTGTGTGTGTGTATATGTGTGTGCGCGCGCACGCTAAATAATTAGAAATGAAGTTTTATGGATAAAAACTTTAGGGTATGGTAAGTTTTAAAAGTAAATCGAGACAGGATACCTAGTTAAACAAAAAAACTAAAGAACAATGACAATGTCATAGATATGAACTATAAGGGATATATAAATAGAAAATTTGGCTTCTTAAAGAAACCAATTTGGCCAGCTATAGCATAAAGAAAAAAAGAAGAGGCATGAGCATAATCTTTGAAAAAGGTTTGCTAAAAACACCAAAAAGAGTTAGATTAAATGATCAAAGAGAGTTTGGAAGAGATCTAAGTATGAAAAACTGAAGGAATTCAAGGGTTTACTTAGCTAAAGAAGATGATTTTGAAGAAATGGAATAGAAATGATTAAAACTTATTTTTCCTTGTTTTTATTATCTTAATTTATTGTACCTAAACGGTAAAAAACTTTGATTTGAGCTTGTTTAAATTTTTATTGAGAGTTTATGTGTTTTGCATATAGAAGTGTTATGTAAGTTTTGTGTTTGAATGAATGAAAGTTTATATGGAATTTTTTACACTATATTGAGGTTAGTAAGCATAAAAAGTCATTGAGTAAGGTGTTAATTGAAATAATTGAAGAAAAAAACTACAATGAAGATTAAAAGGTTGAGATTTTTTGATTTATTTGCTACGTAAATCATGTAGAATATCAATTATAGCTCTTTGTGAATTATAGATAGCAAAGATAAGATTAACATTTTATATGCATGCATTATGCTATAATAGCTAAATGGCGCAAGTGAAGCATATACAAAGGTGTAGTTTGAAGAATATAACATTCTCATTGATATATAAGTTATCCATATAAATAATAATAAACCAGAGATAAAAGAAAAGAAAGGATCGAAAAATCCAAATAAACCAAGTCTAAAAGGAGCCAAACTAAGCTAAAGGTGGGCTCAATAGGGTTTGGTTTGACTAGATCAATCCGAACCTCGAGTTAAGCTTAGTATGATCAAAGCCAAATCTATGCAAAAAGAGCTAAATAGAGCCTAAAATGGGCTTCACTTGACCAGACTCAAACTAAGCTCTATGTTAGATCAAACTGGGCTCAAATAAGTGGATCAAATTAAGCTCAAAGGACTCAAATTGAACAAAAAAAAAATCAAATCAAGCATGAATAGGTCAAACCAAACCTAAAATAAACTCTATTAGGTTCATATTAACCGAGCTTTATGTTGAACTTCATTTGACAAACCAAAAGGGTCAAACCCTATCATTTTATAGGCTTAACACAAACTTGTACTACACTTTTTCTTTTTCTTTTGAACCCTATCATTATATATCCATAATAAAAACTCAACATTCAAGGTATTATTAGATAGATGTTTTGAATTCTGATAACATTGGCCTCGTCAATGAAAGGAAGAATTCTTGAATAAAAAATGTTGTTTAAATTTCATTATTGAAAACTCTAGCAAATGAACCAAATTCCAAAACCACTACGTATCATAACATTTATAACAACCCCAAATTCAATTTCACACAGTACTGTATATTAAAAAAAAAAGAAGGTAAGTTGCGAGCTATGATTATCATATAACCAATAATCCAAGCTAGCTTCAGGGGGATTAAAATTTAAGCTGGTCTTGGTTCATTTATTTTCAGTAAAGAAGTGGTTGATGGCAGGCATGATTTCAGGTGGGCGAGTTCTCAGGAATCTGCGCAGGCCATGGTCAGCATACCTCTCTCCTTCCTCATTGTTTCCTAGCACTCCCATGCTACGTTTTGCTTTGTTGATTCTGTTAATCAATTCCAGCAAAGGAAAAACGATCAACAAAGTGAAAAATAGAATATTTCTGTGAGTGTAAGAATTTAGTGTACCTGACATCAGGGTTCAGGAAAACGTTCCTTGTAAGCTGAAAGATGCACAAACTTGTTACACAGGTCATTGCAGCCAATAGCGGGTAGACCTGGCAGCACAAAACACTTAAGCCCGTGAGATGCAAGAAGATCAAATATCAGGCATAGAGAAACTAGCCCAGATGGTACTGCTGCTTTAGCCCATGATCTTTATAGAATTATATAATAGTTGAAGCCCCTTGAAAATGGTGGTGATGACGCTTGCTTACCTCTGGCTTCATCCAACGCCCCATTGGAAGGCTTGTGCTCCTCTATGCAAAGCTGATGTTTTAATGTTGTCCTTGGACTTCAAGAAATAAGCCAACTGCTGTATTGAATCGTTATACTCACAGGCAGAGGTGCTATTATTTTGTTTGTATATATAGTGCCATGTCATAACTTGAGCCAGCTCCAGCTCAGGAGAATGACTTGACCAGCAGCAAAGTAAGGTATAATCTGGACTGCAGATTTCAGTGGGCTGAGAATTAACGATGACTTTTACACGATGAAACCAGGGGCCCTAGCCCCTTGTTTTGCTAAATTTGGAACTTTCCATGACCCGATGGATCTGTTGACGAGTTTGAGCTTCTTTTTCTTTTTAATCTGTGTTCCCATTTCGAAAATTATTTATGGATTGGAATTCTTGCCATAGATTTTATTTCTTCTAATCTAAATGCTATTATTGACTGTTTCATGGTTAACTTGTTTTCTACAAAAAAAACGTGAAGGGGAAGCCAGGCACAAAACACGCAGGTTATTCTTAATTATATCATTTCCATTGAGAATTATATAAATTATATTTTAAATTTTAAATTATTTAAATAAATTAATTTTATAATATAGTATCGAAATTTTATTACCTAAACTGTCATAAATTTAAATATTATGGTATCTATTTTATTTTATTTGATAAAATTAAGTATGAATGAGTGCAGTTACAAGGTTTTTTTATTAAATTATTTCTTTATCCAGTCAATTCTGTATCGTTGAATTTGTTTCTCATCAGTGGCGAGGAACTTGAGGTTGCACTTTCTCGAAACAGGTTCAATAAAGTACAAACATACTGCCAATCAATTCGATACAGCTGTCAATTATGATTGGAATCCAAATGCTCGGAAGAAGGGCGAAGGGGATTCCTTTTATCAAGTATGGAAGAAAGGAGTGAATCTTGGTCCTATTAGACACAGCAACACCCTGATTGTCCAGCTCGGTGGATTAGCTTGTTTATTCAGTGGCTGGAAGCTTTCCAAGTTTGATTTTATTTTGAACCATTTTTTATATTGATTTAATTATATTTAAAAAAAATTTCTTGCATCATATTAATTTTGCAAAACCCGTGTATATTAAAACTAATAATTGAAAAATAAATAAAACAACATTATTTTGAATAAAAATAATATATTTGAGTTGATTACATGATTCACAATTGACTAAACAACTTAATAAATGGGGTCTAAATTATGTCAGACTCCATGCCTGATCTTATAACAAGAACAAGTGGAGGCTACAATCCCATAAATTTTATTTTGTTCCCTGTAGTATTATATATATTTTTCAATTATGCCCCATAAAGTTATAAATTAGCAGGGGCTACAATCCCCAAAATTTTATTTTGTTCCCTGTAGTATTATTATATATATTTTTCGATTATGCCCCATAAAGTTATAAATTAGCATCTTATAAATACTTATGAATCAAAATGTTTTTAACTATAATAAATGGTTTCTCATTTGATTTAGTTTATGAAATTGGATTTACTTGCTTATCCATTTAATGTACATTAAAATCGTTTACATTGGAAAACAAATGTATAGCAAAATGGGTTTTCATTTTTACTTAAATAAGATGCACAAAATTTTAAAACAAGAAATTTAAGCTAATAATTAACAAAACTTAATTGTCGTGCAAAAAATACTGTAGACAATATGTAATATACTGTAGACAATATGTAATTTATTGTGAATTCAAACAATAAAATTATAGCTTTATCCTTAACTAAGAAAATCAATGAATTGATCTTTGTGAGTAAATGAGTTTTTTCACAGGTCCATTAGTTATCCTTAAATTAATTTGAGGCAGCGAATCTTTTTTATATTTTTATACATAGTAAAATGATTCAAATACATCTAAAAAAATACCCAGCTATTTTATAAGGGTTTTTCTAGAATTCTAACTTTTAAAACATAATGAAATTATCATATTATTCTTAGATTTAGGATTTTTAAAACAAGGTTAAATAAAAAAATTTATACTTTTATATTGATTTTTTATTATTATCAGGTGAAGTTAAAGGTAATTTGATATTATAATTAATATAAAAAACAAAATAAAAAAATAGCTTGCAAGCACGAGCCGCCCTATTATGTTCAAGTGGCATGCATGGCAGTTTAAAGTGGCTAAAAAGATCTTTCTTGGTATTTTTTTATTAGTCTTAGCATTGCCTATCGCTTTAAGTATGTATTTTAATACTCAACAATTTGAAGTTGATTGAATTTTTTTTTTTCTCTTTCCCTCCTCGAGGTGTGAGTTGTCTCTAAAAAACTTCACAATAACTCTTTATTTTATTTTATTTTAGATTTAATTCATATTTTTTTAATTAATTTTTTTTATTTGTATACATTATTTTAATTTGAAAATTATTTTTAATTTCATCCACCTTAAATTTTTTTTATCTCTCAAATTTAATTTACATTTTTTATATTGTTTTTTTTTTTAATTTAGATGATTTTTAAAGTTGATTTTTTTATGATTTCATCCTTAATTTATTTTTTCTATTAGATTTGGTCCTTATTTTTTTAACTACTATTTTTTCTTTGACAACTTTTTTAAATTGATTATTTTTTATTTTATTATTCAATATTAATTTGGTTGGGAAATAGACTTGTTAATTGAGCATGGGTCAGGATTTCACAAATCATGAATTTGGATCATTACCTTATGTTTAGGAGATTTTCCTGGATTTACTTTATTTTTCATATTTTTAAATTAAGATTACTTTTTTAATATTATTAAATTCATTAAACTTATTAAACCTAATGGACATAATGATTGAATTCTCAACTTTTTTTTTTTGAAACTCTAGTGTGGCTTTAAATTCGTTTTGCTTTTGCATTTGAAAAAAATTAAGCTCGGCCTATGGTATGGCACCCGCAACTAATGTAGGTTTACTTGAGTCATTTTTGTTGTGTCTTTTTTTAAAATTAATTTTTTTTTAATTTTTAGCCTTTAATATTTAGTTCATTAAAATTAAACTTTCTAATTTGTTTTAATATAGGTTTTACGAAATTATCATCGTCTCATATCTTGGCTTGCAAGTTTTGGAGGTTAACCATGATTAACCTGAATCAATCATGTGTTGTTATCTAAATATTTTTAAAAAAATATATATCAACAAATATGTAATTATTTAAATATTTTAAAAGTGTTTTGTTAAGTGTGCATCAAATTTTTTACTTTCTAATATCTTTATATTTTTTTAAGAATAGAAAAAAATAATTCGACCTGTGGCAAAGCATGGATCAAAATACTAGTATATATTATATTGAAATCATTTGCATTTGTAACTCAAATAAAGCCTTTATTAGTAACTAAAAAACTATCTAAAATAATAATTAATTTGTTAAATACATGCTATTTAAAAATCTTTCTTATTTATTAAAACTTATAACTCAATAGATTAATTATATTAAATATAGCAATAAATATATTAATTTTTTTATTTTTTGTAAAGACATTATATGGACATATACATACAAGCATACTATTAATATGAGCCAATTTATTTTGACCCCTTTCATTTATTTGTTTTTTTGTTTTTTTTTTGGAACATAAAGGATACAATACATCACCTAGCAAAACCATAAGTTATCGGTTATGATAAACACATACCCTAACATTCTCTAATGGAAACTAACTTCCTGAAATCTAAATCTTGCCCATTTGTCGTGGGTTAACCCATCTCATAAATGTAGACTATTGACATGACTAGAGTTAGGGATTCATCTCTACAATTTATCTTCCGGCTCCTCTAATAAATATATTTCATCTTAAATTCAAGTTTATAAAGCCTTGGAGGATCATTTTTCACCTTCATCTATATTTTTAATGCAATTGGAAATTTCTTTTCTCCCTTTTTTTTTATATATCAGAAATGCACCTCTTGTTCCTCACAAGGAAAGCCTAGTAGATTGTTTCTTCTTAGTTTAGGTTATGTAACTAAATAACCCTAGTGCATTCTAAAGGGACTGTTCAAGGCGTTTTCCATCAAGAAATAGAATGAGGTTTATCAGATTTTCTGAACTTTCATAAAATGGTGGAAGGAAGGTGTACTATATTGTTTGTTTTTGCATTTTAAAAATATTTTTGAAAAAATTTAAAATTTTTTATTTACTCCAAATTAATATATTTTTAATGTTTTTCAAATTATTTTGATGTGTTAATATACAAAATAATTTAAAAAAAAATAATAAAAAATATTATTAACAAATATTTTTACATGAAAAATTATTTAAAAAACAACCACAACTATATTTCTAAATAAAATAGATACCTTGACAACGGAGTTCAAACTATTATAAGAACTACTCTTAGAGATGTTGAACTTGTATTGCTCTCGAGTTATAATATGTAGAAATGATAGTACATGTGAGGGTGCATAACATAGGCAATGGCCGTAATGTTTAATGTTCTTGATTAAAAAAAAAAAGAACCTCTTATATTTGTTTTCAGTGTCATTTTATTCTTGGATTAAGAAATAAATTGTAGTTAGAGGTAATGAAAATAATCCTCTTTTTATTATATTTATTTTATTGAAAAAAAAGTTTTTTGATGACTTTTGTTTTCATTTTTTTAAATCAAATTAATTTATTATTTTTTACTTTTAAATACTTTATTGAGATACATTTAAATTTACTCGTATTTTCATAGTATGATGGTGGAGACATATGGAAATAAACTAAAGGTGAGAATTGTAACAAAAGTTGAAGGAGCTAATCGATACAAACCAAACTATTAGGATGAAATTCAAATAATTAATATTTATTTTTATTTTTTATTGGATAATCTAATCATGAATTTCCCACAAAAATATGATGAATCAAAGGAATTTTTTTTTTATCAAATTTTGTGTTTTTTTATCAAAATTTTATATTTAATCATGAATAGCTAACATGATTTGTTTTCTTTTTATAATGAAATTAAAAAAAATAGCAATTCAAAGAAAAAGGATAAAAACAAAAAAATAAATTACAGGGCAAAAAAAGATTCAATTAAAAGGTGAAATTAAAAAGAAAAACAACTTTAACAAAAGGATAAAAAAAATCAAAAGAATGATAACCAAATTGAAAAAAAAAGAAGAAG